GGAAAAAACCAAAATGAGATTTCTTCCAACAACCGGTTCTCTGAACTGCTTAGAAAGTTACCAACCGGTTCTCCCGAATAGGTGCGAACTGGCTGGATCCCATCACTGCTCCCAAATCAGTATTTCTCAACCATGGCAACTTGAAAATAGGTGGACTTCAACTCCCAGAATTCTCCAGCTAGCCATGCTGGCTCAGAAGTTCTGGGATTTGGGAACACTGGTATATAGGGTTTCCTGCTTGAGCAGGGAATTGGGATTAGTAGACCTCCAAGTTCTCTTCCAACTCTTACTTTGTTAACTTCAATTAAGCTTTCTGATTCACAGCAACAAACGTGAGAGAACATCATTTATTGTGGTTTCCCAAAATCAATTTTTAAAAATGGAAGGCACCACAGTCTCATAAAATTTGGGGATCCTATGAGATTTGAGGCTTATGAAATGTGGCACCCGGCATCTGAGAAAGTTGCCAAATGTTTTATAACCTCCAAGTCATAAGAGACAGTGGTATTACCCTTTGACTGAAATAATAAATGTAGGAAGTGCCTAGCCTATAGAATAGTGTATCTATATAATAATTAAAAGGGAGTATGCCATCGATAGGCTTAAAAAAAGAATTGACAGCTGGTATTAGTGTATTCCAAAATAATCTTTTCACCAGGAAGCACAGCCGCCAAGAAAATTGTATTAGTCCATAAGAAGCAATACAATTTTAATGGTAAACTCAAAAAAAGGACAAACTCAAACATCTACAAAGTTTTGATTAACCTTTCAAGTTTGCCAGATCTTTTCATCAGAAAAGATGTTGCCAACAATAACAATAAAGTGGGAATGACTCAAGGGGAGGAAGGGATGGGAAAAGGCTGCCTTGATACTGAAAATGAGCTGGTTAGAGTTTGAAAAGAATAAAAAAACATTCAAAAAGTCTTATTAGACCATATTATAAAGTTATGGCTAAGAGTCTCATAATAATGTTCTCGTTTTTTTAAAAAAATGTAATGTATTACTTGGATTTATTTCCAGAAGCAGCTGTAGATTAGAGATACGCAAAACAGATCAGGGATACTGTAGATATTTGTATAAAATGTCTGTATGCTGAGATAAAGATATATATATTTCAAAGCCAAGGGAAATTATCAAAGCCATTAAAAAGCAAAAGTTAGAATATTTTGGACATGTGTTGCGACACCCAGAAAAATATGGCATACTTCACTTATCCTCCAGGGAAAGATGGAAGGCAAATGAGGTCCAGGCAGAAGAAGAACATCATGGCTTCAAAAAAAAAATGTAAGGATTTGGATTTGGTTTGGAAAAAACTCAGCCGCACTTTTTCATGCGGCTGTTGACAAAAATAGGATTGCCAACATGATCGCCAATGTCCGATGATAGATATGGCACAAGAAGAAGAATATCAAAACCACTGAAGAAATAACAATTCCAAATCTGAAAGATAAACCAGATTTGGAAGGGGGAAATCTCCATTCTGGTTGTTTCTGTGCAGAACCAAGGATACCAGCTTTTTCCTTGCTAGATGCAGCAAAATATTTATTGGCTGGTTGGCTGATTGATTGATTGATTGATTGATTGATTGATTGATTGATTGATTGAATTTATATTGCCGCCTATTTGCCCATGGCAACTCAAGGTGGCTTGCAGAATATAAGAAGCTTAAACTTTTTTTAAACTTTAACTCTTCGTTCAAATTGCCCGGATCCTTGGTTCTGATAATCCTTCTAAGGTTTTTCCTCACTGATTTTCCAGAGTAGCAAGGGATTGTCATCCAAGATGATGCTAACCTCCTAGAACAGTTTTTTCCCCCCCTTCTCTTGGCAGAGAGAGAGATCTTCCTGAAGATGCCATTCCTAACAACAACTTCCTTCGGGAAGATGGTACTTCGCTGGATTTTCAGGCACTTGAATGGGAGAAAGGATATTACACAACGGGTTGATTCAGAGCTACTTCTTCAGGTCCTGCTACATCTCCACGTGGCTCTGTTTTCAGATCTCTGGCTGGCAAATCAGTTACCCCCCCCCCTCTGCTCTTCCCCCTTTTGATCTGGGAGAGAGGCACAATCCTGTTCCAGGCGTCAAATATCGAACAGAAAGGGCAGTTCCCCTTTTCAGCTAAGTCCTCACCCGAGTCCTCACCACCCTTCCCTGGTTCTCCCCACTCTTCCCATCTGTGTCGGCTGCATGTCTTTTGGCATTT